CGGGTAAGGATTCTATCACCATCTTCCCCATTTCCGCGCCGTTCCACAGACACAAAAGGACATCAGACAGCATAGAATCGGGTGCTTTTTAATAAATAGGTATGTAACATAGGAATTCGCTTCAACTTTTAGTCCGACTAGAGAGCGCGAGGCAGTCTCGGGCAGGACAGTGAACGGGTTAACGGAAATGAAAACGAAGTCACGATTTTCTGTTATCGATAATAAAGCTCAAAGTGCGCTTTCATTGTTACGTGACCACCACTTTTTATGTCGATCCAAACTCGACACAGAGTGTCATGACAAGGCAAAGTGCAAGCCTATAAAAAGGGAATCTTCCTTATCCCGGTGGTACATCATTCTTTCTTTGTGGAAACAGAAACACCAAGGTAAACCGACTTACGTTTGTTACTACTCTTGTAACGTCTCTAATCTTCGGCACTTATATGACCTAACTGTGTTCCAAGTGGCCGTAAAAATGTTTACTGAAACAAACGTTACTTTCATTCAGTTACATTCAGTGTGTGAGAACTTAGCCTTCGTGGCTTCTGGAAGCATCAGTGAAGCGTCATTCTCCCTGACAGAAGAGATGTGCCCAAATGGAACCGGCTACAGTCGTACTAAATTGGTCGCTTTTATTGACAAGCGGGTGACCCAGATGTCGGGGGTTTCCAGAAATCTTGACCTACACTTTACATTTACTTTTACTTGTCCGATCCAGCGGCCATTTGAGTTCTAGCCCTTCGGCCTGTTTTGACCTGCACCAAAAGTGGGCATTGCCCTACCTATAGGAGAAGTTTGGTTTCATTGGTGCGTATATGTGTTTGGTTATAGAGAAATCTCTCATGGTCTTTTAAAGAAACTGAACAAAGTGCAAAGACTTAACCTTCGATTTTCTCAAAAAAGCACTTTTCGGGATACGCCTCTTGTGCTTTAAAGCGACAAATAATAAGGCAGCGTGGTGAAACCAGGCTCTTGTCAAAATAATGAAATCGGAGAAACATGCCTTAAAATTTTTTCCGCTAGTTTGGGAATTTTTATCGATTTTTTTTTTCTTTTGCTCCACCTCTTTCACTTCAATATAAAAACAGATTTCCATGTGAATTTTACCGAAAAATAGTGATTGACTAAAGGCACAAAATTTGTCATTTTTCAGTTTTCTAAAATTCTTTAGATATTGGAGTTACCAAACTTTGGCAGCCATTTTCTCGCTAATTTCATCACTGAAAAAAGGCGACCTCCCTTCCTTAAAATGCAGAATCTTGAAATCTATTCAAGAGAAATATATATTTATTTCATTCGAAGCAAGGCAAATACATGAGCTTTCAGATGATGCGTGGGTGGTTGGCGGGTGCTCTGGTGTGGTTTGCTCCTTCTTTCCCATCGAACATCTATAATCCTTATCTCCCTTTTTTCTTTTGTATGTTTGTTACTCTCTTGTAACACATCAGCTAATCTTCTGGCGCTCACCTGACCTTATGCAGTTGTGAGCGCCGTAAAACCTCTACTAAAACTAAAATCAGATGATACCAAGAACTCCACACGCCCAAAAATTGACGAGCGACTGATTCCATGGAATCACAAAACAAATTATTGTAAAAAAAAATACCTCAGAATTACAAAGCTCTATCTTCTCAGTTCCTAGTTTTGAGAAATCTGGCGTCAAAAATTGATAGTTTCACAACAAATCAAGCTTTATCGAATGTAATTCTTTGAATATCGTGATATCGACCCCGAATAATCTCACGATTTTGATAGAGTAGAAGGGACACTTTGGATTTCTGACCTCATGGTCTTAGTAACTCTAAATGGCCAAAAATGTCAGATAAAACTTTGTAATTTTAAGGTTGCGCAATGAGAAGTTTACGAGTTATGCAGCAGAATGGCGGAGCAGGCCTTTAACTTTAAGTGGACTGTTCTGTTCGGTCTAGTGGTGGGATACTCATTTTTTGCGGAGTGTTTTGGGCTTTTTTTATTAATACTAGTGAATGAAGAAGGTTTTGTTAAGTTATGTTAGGGTTTTACGGCGCTTGCAACTACATGAGGTTACAGAAGGTTTGGCTTTTGTTTTGATTTTAGTCAGCAATCGTAGCTTTGCTTTCTGTCTAAAAGATCCAAGTCGTGGGATTTAAGTTGCAAGCCACCCTTTATCAGACACTGGTGTTCTAATGATCTATACGTCTCCTCTAAAACCAGAGAAAAATTACCGCCCAGGCGGCCAGAATGACAGTAAGGCGTGCTGAAAATGTGTTGGATATTTTGACCTCCTAGCAACCTAATTTTTGACAGCGTTTCATAATAAGCTGAATAGGCCCAAGAGTTCATTTCCTGGGCCGCGTTCGCGTTTTGTTTTGGGGTTTTGGGGTTTTTTGTTGTTGTTGTTTGTTTGTTTTGTTTTTGTCTTTTGAGTGGGGGGGGCGGGGGGTCGCATTAAAAGGGACACAAGGTATGGCCGGAGTGACAGTTTTGTTTTTTGCTCTAAATCAAGTAATATGGGCGGATTCACATGAACCCATATGGGCCAAGAAACATAAAAATACCATGTCTGTATGATTTCATTAACAATTTCGTGAATTCTTGAGATGAAATTATGGGTTCGAACGATCAAACTACGTGCAAAATCGAAGTGGAAATTGGGCAAAAGCGCCCCCGACCTAATACAATCGTCTCAGCTGCTTTGTCTCGGCCTTGAGCAATGCGAAGTCAAAAGCCAAGTGATACTCAGTCCATATGGCCGCCGGGGCTTAAGGGACAAACCAATGAAATGTTATAGGGGGTGCCCATTAGCGCGATCGGGTCGGGTCGGGTCGGGTCGGGTCGGGTCGGGTCGGGTCGGGTCGTCGGGTCGGGTCGTTTTCTGGTGGTTTCAGTGCACACTACAAATCCGCGGCGATTGTACCCGACGACCTGGAAGTTAAAATAGAGAAACCTTTAACCTCAATGGCTTCCAGGGCTCCTTTCTGCAGTTAGCTGTTGTAGTGCTGCGGAAGCCTGGAATCCCATAAACATGGGTTTCATCGATAACTTTCTACTATCTTCTCTAAGTCAAGGGACTCCATTGTTGTCAATTTTTTATGGTATTTCTCGTAGAAATGCTCGATCTTGACATCGCAGTGCCAAATGGACACGCGACTCAGCCTTGTTGTGATTGACTCGCAGGCCTGAAAATAGCGCGTCTGATTTTGAAGGTCACCAACGGAATTGATCGGTTTGAGCCACGATGGTCGCTTTGCGCCCTCAATTTGGCTAGCCCCAACTACCAAATCGACCCGACCCGACGCGATCGCGCTAGTGGGCACCCACTTTTATGCTCCCCGAAAGAGGTAGCGCCTGATTGGGTGTAGTAATTTGTAGTAGACACCAAAACCAAGCATATTATCACTTTTCAAGTTGTTATGTCTCAGAAGTTTCGTTTGGGTATTTGTGGAGTTTCGTTTGTTTTTTTTAATTAAAAATCAGTATACATTATTATTTTTTGTCCCTTATATTATAATTTTGGTAAAATGTGTTCTTTTGATTTTAGTCAGAGAAGTAGCTTTCTGGTAAAAAAAATAATTTTTTAAACAAACAAACCAGGAGAGGCTGAAGCTGCAGGCCCCATCCTACAACACGCCACTTATCGTTATTATTATTATTATTATTATTATTATTATTATTATTATTATTATTATTATTATTATTATTATTATTATTATTATTATTATTATTATTATTATTATCATTGTTATTATTATTGTTATTATTATTATTATTATTATTAATATTATTATTATTATTATTATTATTATTATTATTATTATTATTATTATTATTATTATCATCATCATTATTTTTATTATTATATTATTATAATTACAAATATAATTTGCATCATTATTAATATAGTTGTTGTTGTTGTTGTTGTTGTTCTTGTTGTTGTTGTTGTTGTTGTTGTTGTTGTTGTTGTTGTTGTTGTTGTTGTTATTATTAGTATTATTAGTATTAGTATCTTTATTGTTATTGTTGTTTTTGTTGTACTTGTTGGTGCTGTTGTGGTTATTGTTGTTGTCGTTGTTGTTTTTGTTGCTGTTGTTGATGATGATGATGATGATGATGATGATGATGATGATGATGATGATGATGATGATGATGATGATGATGTAATAGTGCAGTTATATATGAATATATATTTGTAATATGTTTTATATTCTATTTCCAGAGCCCAAAATGAAGTTGGCAATCCTCTGTCTGGCTCTTGCGACTGTCGCCTCTGGTCTGTACATCCCTGCAGAAGAAAAGAGAGATCTTCACGGTACTGCAGTAATAATTGAGAATGTCATCAAGGAAATCGAGATTGCTCTTCACCCTGGCAACAAGAGAGACCTTCACAAGGTTGCTGAGGTAATTGAGAATGTCATCAAGGAAATCGAGAATGCTCTCAACCCTGGCAACAAGAGAAGTCTTCATGATGCTGCTGTCATTGCTGAGAATATCATCAAGGAAATCGAGAATGCTATTCACCCTGGCAACAAGAGAAGTCTTCATGATGCTGCTGTCATTGCTGAGAATATCATCAAGGAAATCGAGAATGCTCTCAACCCTGGCAACAAGAGAAATCTTCATGATGCTGCTGTGATTGCTGAGAATATCATCAAGGAAATCAATCAGGCTATTCACCCAGGCAACAAGAGAAATCTCCATGATGCTGCTGTCATTGCTGAGAATATCATCAAAGAAATCGAGAATGCTATTCACCCAGGCAACAAGAGAAACCTTCACGATGCTGCTGTGATTGCTGAGAATATCATCAAGGAAATCGAGAATGCTATTCACCCAGGCAACAAGAGAAATCTTCATGATGCTGCTGTCATTGCTGAGAATATCATCAAAGAAATCGAGAATGCTATTCACCCAGGCAACAAGAGAAACCTTCACGATGCTGCTGTGATTGCTGAGAATATCATCAAGGAAATCGAGAATGCTATTCACCCTGGCAACAAGAGAAGTCTTCATGATGCTGCTGTCATTGCTGAGAATATCATCAAGGAAATCGAGAATGCTATTCACCCTGGCAACAAGAGAAGTCTTCATGATGCCGCTGTCATTGCTGAGAATATCATCAAGGAAATCGAGAATGCTATTCACCCAGGCAACAAGAGAAGTCTTCATGATGCCGCTGTCATTGCTGAGAATATCCTCAAAGAAATCGAGAATGCTATTCACCCTGGCAACAAGCGAGGACTTTTTGATTTTATTAAAGATAAGATTCAAGATGTCAAAGATACATTGGAAGGTATCGCGAACGTGGACCTCCGTTCCGCCTAAACAAAATCTCCAAGACACTGGCAAAAAAAGACAGAGACTGTTATCAAAGAAGCCATACTTGCCCTTTTTCCCAATACCCAGGGGAACCATGACGAAAATGCTGAAATGTTTTGACTAGTGGTCGATACCAAGCGATGAAATCATAACTCCTTTGAAAGCGACCTGCCTCAAATCCAAGTCAAGGTACAAATTACCGGAAACTTGATAGCATTACCGCTATATTCTAGCGTATGCTATCTTGATATCTAGTAAATGTCGTAATTAAGAACAAGAGCTGATCCTTAGTGTAAACATAATCTTAGAATTATTTCTGTCGTTGTGGAGTGGTATTTTTAATAATATAAAGTGAAATTTACATTGGGAAACACTTGCTCTGTGGGAACAGAAATCATATAGAAGGAAACTTCCATGTGTTTCTAAGAAGTAAAAGCTCCAATAAAATCCTCTTTCAAAACATTCAAGCGTTTTTTGTTGGGTTTGTTTGTTTTTTGCAAAATGAACGTACATAATATTTATGGCATGTTGTTGTTTATTATCTTTTATCTTATAATCGTCATTATTTTACGGAAGGTTGTAGATGTCCACATATTGACCTTGTGTCAAATATAGTCGCCCCCTCCTCTCACAAATATACACACACACCATGAACACCAAGGGGTGGACCTCAACAGAGAAGTCTATACACGGAATCAGACTTACTCTGCTCCCCTCTCTAGCCTCAACAGCACAAAGTCTGCTTCGACTATCAAGGCACCCCGGAAATAGCAGTTCACAAGAGAGTGACAAACATACAAAATAAATAGAGGGAAAATGACGGTAGTAAGGATGAGGAAAGAAAAAACAGCACTTCCCCCTATGTTGTTTCCCACAGTATGAGCATGGCATTGATAAGTCAGCCCATTTACAATTCTTCTGAGCATACGAATATATTATGTTAACATCCCCCCTTTGGGAATGGCCTAAAGAAACTTCAGTCAGTAGAACTGCCCTGTGCACAAGGCAAGAACGATAAATTTCACTAGGATGTGTTGTCATTTACTCAATCAATCATGACATCAGCTGACAACAATTTATACATAAATCTAAGTCATGCTGATGTCAAAATCATTTACCAAAGACAAATTTATTGAAGCAAAAAAAATGTAATAAATACTATGCCTAACTAGAGAGATACACTGCTCCGCCCAGAACTGTGGGAGTATCCGAGTGAACTGTGCACAATAACAAACAAAAGTTTCAACTAGAGAGCATTTGTGAGGCAGCGTGGTGGAATCAGGCTCTCGTCAAAATAATCAAAGTGAAGAAACTTGCATTTTTCCGCAGGTTTGTGAATTTTTATCAAATTTTTGTTTTTTGGCACAACACCTTTCATGCCCATTAAAGAACTCATTTCTGTGTGAAATTTTCTGAAAAGCGTTGATTAAAGGCATACAAAATGTAAATCTTCAGTTACCATAGACTCTTAAGCTAAGGAAATAACTAATATTTGGCGGCCATTTTCTCACTAGTTTTACCTCTGAAAACAGGTGACCAACACCTCTTTTTTTGCAAATATCTCGACTTGTATATACGATAAATGGATATTTTTTGCTTCCAAATAAAGAAAAGTGAACAAGCTTTAAGATGATACCAATAACTCTACATGCCCAAAAATTGACGAGGGCCTGATTCCACCACGCTGCCTCACATTTCATGTAGGCCTATGTCAGTATCGCAAACTTGCAGAACCATCCGAAAATAGTTTCCTGCAGATAAGGTATATATGTTCCAAAACGATGAAGGATAAAACGAGCCCATAATTCAGATATTTATGCTGGGAGACAACTCTTAAATGTAGGCCTGTGCTATGTCAGTATCGCAAACTTGCAGAACCAACAAAAAACTATTTCCTACAGTTAGGGTAAAATGTAGGCTATGGGGTGGGGTTTTTTGTTGTTGCTTATTTAATAAAGCATAATAAAACGAGCCCATACTTCAGATATTAACATCTTCGCTGACACGCCCATAGAATGTACAGGCCTGAACCGTGTAGCGCTGTGCCTACTTTGGCCTGTTCGTTTTACAGGACTGTGACACAGGTTGTTATGATGCCTATGATAAGGGAAGTTACCGCTAAAATCATGTAATTATTATTGAGGTACCTTAGGTACCTTCCCTTTGTGTGCTTAAATTTTGTGTCCTTTTAAGCAACATTTTGCTGTAAAATAATATACTCAGAAATTTTTTAAAAAATTTTTATTAATTTTTTTTTTTTTGGGGGGGGGGGTGTAAGTGTTTTACAGCGCTCGCAACTTCACAAGGTTATATGAGCGCCTGGGACACATTAAACTTTTATTTCAGTTGGTAGGAAATTTTGAATTTTGCTAGGGAGGCGGACGAAGCCTACTCTTATCGATTTTAGACCACAAAGGGATCTTTAACGTGCGCAACTTGCACACGAGCCCTCATGGATTTTTTACCTTTGTCCTAATAGAAGATCAGAGGTGTGGCTGAAAGACAGCAGTAAGAAGGAGCAAAGGAGTAGCAGTAGAAATGCTGCAGAAAGCGTCAGGAGTCCAGAGGGGGGGGGGCAAAGGAGTTGAGGGGGTGGAGCAGAAAGAGGAGACAAAAGCAGACGACAGAACATCGCTAGAGAGTAGAAAAGGAGGTGAAAGGAGACAATTTTAGAGAAGAAAATATTTCGGTCGCTACTCGGATTCGAACCCGGGACATTTGAATGAGAGGCCAACACCTTAACCTCTAGCCCCCTAAATTCATTTTTCAATGTACACAAAAGTCGTTGAGCAAAAAAAATTCGATTTAAATTGCCATACAGGCTATCTCTCTCTCTCTCTCTCTCTCTCTCTCTCTCTCTCTCTCTCTCTCTCTTTCCCTCTCTATCTATCTTTCTATCTATCTCTCTATCTATCTATCTATCTATCTATCTATCTTCCTATCCATCTATTTATCTATGTATCTGTCTATCTGTTTAGCTAGCTATCTCTCTTTCTCTCTTTCTCTCTCTCATGCACACGCACAAACACATACACACGCACACACATACAAACACACACATACGCGTGCACACACACACACACACACACACACACACACACACACACACACACACAAACACACACGCACACATACACATGCACATTCCTGTTTCAGATAAAGTACCTCAATGTTGGTGCAAATTGTCATTTCTTTCCTGGATAAAATAGAGTTGCATTTCTAGGGTGGAAAGGACTCGAAAACTACACTGTAAGAGGCCAACTGTTAGATAAAAATCCGTGCCGTTTAGGAGAACAGCATATAAATACAGTAAGAACGTCGGAGGGACTCATAGAATGGTTCGAGATAACATCTGGAGTAAGACAGGGTTGTGCCCTATCACCACTGCTATTTATCATGTATATTGATAGAATTCCAGACGCCCTGAATGAATTACTCTTGGCTGATGACCAAAGCCTGGCACATAAAGATGAACAAAGTCTCCAACACCACACCACCAGATGAAACGAAGAATGTAACAACTACGACATGAAGATCAACATCAACAAAACAGAGAAATTGAAAAACGAGTACAAAAGGCCAATAATGTTAGTTACCAGCTTACTCCACTACTGAAACATCCTAATATCCCCATGACAACAAAACTTAAAATGATCAACACCATATTCATCCCAACACTCATCTATCAATGCCAAATATGGATCACGAACAAGACATTGAAGCAAAAAATTACAACATGTGAAATACGAAGTCTTAGAAAAGCAGTAAACAAGACCAGCCGAGACAAAATAAGAAACTCGGTAATCAGAAAAATGGTGGGCACAAATGATGCCATGCATCACATCCAACACCAAAAGAATCAAAAGGTTCAAACATCTCATGCGATTACCAACACACCATCCAGCACAACGTGCCTACATTTTAAAACATTCAATTGCAACAAGGCTAGAGGGCGACCGAGAAAGACCTAGATAGATGGAGTCAGGGAAACACTAACAACTCATGGCATCCCCCTGACCCATGGTCTCCGGTTGGTGGCCGAGAGACGTCTTTTTCTTCCTGCGACACCCAAAAAGGTATAAACGGCGGATAAAAGGGAAAGTAAAGCATTTCTAGGATAGAGGGACAACAATAATTTATTGTATTTTTAAGCAAATACATCAGCATCTTGCTACCTTAGAATTACAAAGTTCTCTCTGACATTTTAGCCGTTTTGAGCTCAGAAACCAAATCAGTTTCCTATCTGCTCTATTGAAACTGAAAGATTTTTCGTGGTCATTATCAAGAAATACCAAACCAATGTGCCAGGATTTGGACAATAAAGGTCTATCTTAATATTCAAAGAATTGCTTTCGAAAAAGCTTGACGTGTTGTGAAACTTAAAATTTGGACGTCAAATTTCTCACAATTATGTACTGAGTAGATAGAACTTTGTAATTCTAGGTTAGCAATTTGTCATTAGAGTCCATAGAGATGCATTGCCAGGCAAGACGGGGAAAACAATAATATTTTATGTGAGGCAGCGTGGTGGAATCAGGCTCTCGTCAATTTTTGGGCATGTAGAGTTATTGGTATCATCTTAAAGCTTGTTCACTCGTCTTTATTTTGATTTTAAAAAATCAATTTATCTTGAATATAAGTCGAGATATTTGAAAATGTTTTCTGCGAATGAAGGAGATGAGGGTCACCTGTTTTCAGCGGTAAAATTAGTGAGAAAATGGCCACCAAAGATCTGTTATTTCCTTATCTCAAGAGTCCGTGGTAACTGAAAATTTACATTTTGTGTACCTTTAATCGACGTTTTTCAGAAAAATCCACACAGAAATGAGTTCTTTAAGGGGCATGAAAGGTCTTGAGCCAAAAAACAAAAATTTTATAACAAATTCACTAACCTGTAGAAAAATGCAAGTTTCTTCACTTTGATTATTTTGACGAAAGCCTGATTCCACCACGCTGCCTCACATATTGTTGTTTTGTTTTGTTTTCCAATTTCACATTGCGTAGTTGGGGGTATTTTTAGCTCCTGAATGTTCAACTCATTTCGACATACCTTTTAAATGTTTGAAGTGATTTATTTTCAGTTTCGTTGTCTCGTTGTTTTGGGATATTTAAACATAATGACAACTATTGATATTATATTTGTAAGTAGCGTTCTCTATTTTGTACATACCTGAAACACACGTAATACCGTACTATTAAAGAGCTCATAATTAACCAAAATAATCTATGTTGCCGTTAAGAGGCTATTGCAATGGTTGTTAAACAAATACCCACGCAAACAAACAAATAAACAAATAGAAAATGAATAAGCAAACAAACAAACAAACAAACAAACAAGCAAATACCC